AATTTTATTAGTGTATTTGGATTTATAATCAGATGCCACTCGCCTATAAGGAATGAAGTCAATTTCAAGTATTTTTACTTCCAAAAAGAAGAACGAAGTGTAATCATATGATTGAGGGGTCGAGTTGAAATGTACACCTGCTTGACTCCTCAAAATTTAGGTACAATATTATAACAATGATATTATAGCACATGATAATAATTATGGTGTTGAGTTTTTGCTTATGTCAAATGTATGGAGTTTGAAGCATGTAGTTGAAAAACAGTTATTATAATAGTATTGGTGGGATAAAGTAGGGTCAAGCAATGAATGTAGGTATGTGAGCAAGATTCAAATTTGTAATTGTAAGGTAGAATGTTGTGTAATAGTTAATTTTTCATGTGTATTTGCTTACGGTGAAAATTCTAACTCGTAAATAAATAAATTCAAAAGTAATTTGAGACTGAATTTTAAGTCTTCTTTGGATTCTTTTAAGTGTGTTGTAATTGGAATGACTGAATCAATGTCGTAAAACATAAAATTGACCAGAAATAGTAATAGAACAATAAAACTAGTATTGGACTAAATGTAAAAGGGTTACGAAGTGAACTGTACGTGAACTAAATTGCAGAACATAAAATGAAAAAACGTAAATTTGCATAAAGATAACGTACGACTCCTAGCAACAATGATCACGAATGACCGTGAATCTCTTGGTAGCTAGTGTCTGGCTCAGTACAGAATTTCAACGTTCAGAGAATTTTAGGTGTTGATGTTTGATGCAAAAAGTCGTCCTCCGTAATGTAAAACTTTGTACTATTTATAGGCAATGTAACTCAACTGCTCTCCTCCATTCGTGGGTCTCTTGATAATCACTTCTACACATAATTGCTTTCAAACGCTGCTGCCCATTATCCAAACCGCTCATGATCATGGCTTCTCTGTAATCCTTGTCACCCACGATCTCTTTGTGTCTCTGTCCTTTAACTTAGTGGTAATCGTTGATAAATGTTGCTTTGGCAGTCGCTTCAAGCCTTATAACTTTTTAAATTTGTTTCTTCACCTTTGAGCTCCTCCCTATCTCTTAGACTTAGAATAATTTTTCTTGTCAATTTTTGTTTCAATTAGTTTTAAGAAAAATCTGTGAGCTCCACTCTGTCTTATAGACTTAGAATAATTCTTTTTTATCAATTCCTGTTTCAACAAGTTCTAGGGGAAATATGTGATTTCTATCTTATCTTGTGGACCTAGAATAATTTTTCTTGTCAACTTATTTTTTGACAAGTTTTAGGGTAGATTCATGAGTTCTATTTTGTCTCATGGACTTAGAATAATTTCTCTTGTCAACTCCTTTTTTGACAAGTTTTGGCTGTTTTTAATCTTGGACTTGAAAATTTCCAAAACTCCTCAAAAGGCAACCCTCTTTTCGACAAAAATTAGGGCTCTTCTCATGACCCATCATGTAACACCTTAATTTAATTTTCAAGTAATAATTTCGTAAAATAGGAGTAATAAAATTTTCATTTAAATAAAAAGATTCAATCATAGAGTTTCATAAAACAGTTCAAAACAATAAAGGATTACAAATTTATATTAAAGACTGTTACAGAACTAATTCAGTTGCATCATAATTTTAAAATACAGTCTAAGTCTTATAGCAGTTCATCCTTCCTTCACTGAGTCTGGTGTTGATCGTCTTGGTCACCTGAAAAATAAATGTAAGGGTGAGTATTTTACACTATCTAACACACATAAACATAGATACTCACCTCAAATACTACACATTTACTAACATATTTTAAATCATGCACCCACAATACAAGCATCTCGATCTCAATCACAATCATTATCCATTCCGATTCAAAACACAATCGGTGCACTCACTGCACCCACATTTCACATACGTGCGCTTACCACACTTAGCCACGTTTACTGTTTTACATCATGAATGGTCGCCGGTTACTCCCGCCTCACAGATACCGCGTGGGCAGTCACGAGTTGCTCAGTAAAGGTAGTGGTCAGAGGTCTAGTCAGGAGGAGAGTGTGTGGCCTGTGGCGCACCCATGCTCACTGTTAGTGTCACCACCGCTCTCTCTTTCCCAAGGTATTTCTACCGTCTCAATCTTTTACACCTCTAGTGTATCGCTGAACCATTCATAGCATATCATACACGGCATACCTTGCCCACATTTATTCATATTACATAGCACAAAGGCCCATATTCAGTTACAGTACACGACATACTAGCCCATAATTCATTCACAATACTCGGCACATATGCCATTATTCCATCACACAACATATCAACAGGTCATCCATATCCATTTCCAATCATTTACACCATTCAATCATCAATCCTTAACAGCTCACACACATTCTCAATCAAGGGTATGTCAACCCCACAATCAATTTACATTTTACTCCAAATACACAATAATTTTCATCAATTCACACATTTTTTACTCTCTATCTCAGTCACATCACAACATTCAACGAAATAAATAGTAAATTAAATACAATGAGATAGGGTAGAGTCCCCCCTTACCTCAAGTGAAGACCCACACACCAAATCAATAAGGTAGGCGCTCCCCCACACGAACTTTAAACTAAATACATGGAAGAACCCCATGAGAACCCAAGGAGAACCGAGAAATCAAAGGATGGGGATGAGAAACCGAACCCTAACCATTAAAACTCACCTCCAAGTGTTTCCTACACAAATCTAACCTTCAACCTAGCTCACGAACAACTTTGGAGGCAATTTAATCGGTGAAATAGGGTTTGGGAGTGAGGGAATCAAAGAAATCTCGAAGGGAAAGTGAGAAATAAATCATCTCTAAACCCTAACTCCTTTAAATCCCTTTCTGGTCGCGACACTTTCGCTACAGCGAGTCAACCTCGCTGCAACGACACTCTCTCTCGCTACAGCAAAAATCTCATAGGGAATTACATTCTGATTTCTGCAGAATCTCACTACAGCGAAACCTTCTCGCTACAGCGAGACTGCACCCAGAAATGTACCCCAAACTGTCGCTTTGTTGTTATAGCGAGAAGGCGACAGTTTCACGTCTTCCTCCCATGGCCCTCTTGCTATAGCAAGAATGTCCCAGAATTACACCATTAACCTGTTTTCTCAGCCCAATCAATACAATCATATACAACTGCAATTGTACTCATTCACACGCATTCATACATATCGACATCATCATTATGCAATTAAGAGCAGACTCTAATATCCATATATATATATATATATATATATATATATATATACACACACACACACACACATAATAATAATTGATATTACAAAAATTTGAGACGTTACATGTCAAAACTTCTCAAAATATAGTCTTCTTTTCGACAAAGAATGAGGTTCTTTTGTCAGTCTTCATAAGAATCTCTTTAAAAAAGCATAGTTTATTTCCTACCACAATTTTGGTAAGGACTTTGGTAACTTAAAAAAATTTTCTTTTCTCAAACAGTATTATAATATATGTTATTATAATATAAGTTGAGTTTAAAAAAAATATAGTAAATGAGAATATATTGTCATTCTGTCTTAATTTTGCTTAAGCAAATTAAAAGTCTCTATCCAATCAATCTTTTAATTTTTTTTTCAGTATATTCTTACTTAAATAAATTTAGTATGTCAAATATGTTTATCTTCCAATACCTTGTTTGCTTAAGCAAAGATTAGGCTTAGTTTAATCCTTCCACGTATATAAGCCTTCTCATATATATAAGTTATATTACTTAACATGAACATTAAACAATAACTTGACGATAAAGACATTAAAAATTTAGTTTTTCTAATATGTCTTTAATGACACAATTAAAAAAAAAACACAATTGTGTGTTTTTTGTGTATATATTTAACAAATTAAAAAATTGATAATTAATATATTTAAAAATAGTTATTTTTTTTTTATAAAAATGATAAAAAGAACTGTGTATTAATTGAGAAAATAAAACTTAAAGTACATATTTAAAAATTAATACGTTAAAATGATAATATATTTTGAATAAAATTTTTATACACGTTTAATTTCTTACTTAGTTTCTTCATATACAAATTCTCTTTTATAAATTTGTCTAAAGTTCGGAACTAAATAATTTTTACTCTAAATAGTCTAATTATAAAATAATAAACACAATTCAGTCTTTAAATATTATGTTAGTTTTCATTCAAAATTATTTCAACACAAAATTATTGCAGCTACGACAAGGCGAAGTGACCATGACTCTCTAATGAGGAGAGACAGAGCTACATTGAATAATATATGGTACAAGCCTCTATTCAATTTTAATTCTTTTAATGTTATTAGTACAGTGCTATTATAGTGTTAGATTATCATTTTAAACCTTACTGTATTCATCTATGCTTTTATTATCTGTTTTTTTTTCCATCACCTAAAGTTTGTTTTATTTTTTTATATATTTTATATGTATAAATTAGGATTTATTAACATCAAATGTTAAAGGTGAGTTAATTAATCTAACCATTAGTTTAAGAATTTTTGTTTATGAAATCTTATAAAAAAATTATCATATATTCTATCATAATACTTTACTTTAATAAATAATTTTAATATAAATAAATATTAGATAACATTTTTATGAATATTGAAACTATATAAAATAATATATATAATAAAAGATAATATAAAATAATTTAATGGGTAAAGTATTAATTTTATATTCTATAAAAAGTTATTTAACGAAAAGTAAATAATGAAGTTTGATATGTATTTTCAAACATATTCTCTTTCAATCTACGTGTATACGAAAAAATCTTTATGGGCAAAAATGTTTAATTGGTTAGACACGGATGGCCACTGAAAAATCCGGGAGAAAGCCAAGAAGAGGTGTCTACCAAGTAATCGACAAAGGTCTCATGGAATGTTTTTTTGGAAGAATTTGGATTTCCCTCGTTCGTTCATCCTCGACTTCCACATAGTTCTAACCACGTATAATCAAATAAATTTAACGTAAAACCCAATCACGTCATTGTCTAGTTTATAATGTATAATTATTTTTTTATTAAAAGATGCTTAAAAAAGCTTTTAAAAAAAGCCTAAAACAAACAAACTAGGTCAGATCTATAAAATTACAAGCTGTTAACATTCATACTTAAAAAAATGATAAGAAGAAGGACGAATAGCAAATCATTTAGCACACTAGTTAACTTTTTTCCGTATGTAAACAAACTTAACAAAACTAATAAACCTAACAAAACTTTTTTACGTATGTTCTTTTATTTAATTAAAAAAAATGATTATTTTTCTTTTTATATTTGCTTCAATTTACATTTTTTCTCTTTACCTTATCTTTTCTCCTCTTCAGGGGTTAACTCAAGTGTATTATTCTTGACTGTCATATATCGTATGGGGAAAATGAATAAATAGTTTGATAAAAGAAAGGAAAGGGACTAATATAGCCAATTTTTTGAGAGGGAAGCTTGTGATATTTCAAAGGGATCCGTATCTTCTCTTTGAATTTGATATAACCAAGTTGTACTAGCTTTCGTGCTTAGCTTTTCCCGGTATTTGAATTTGACATTGCAAAGGGATCCGTATCTTTTACACAGTATATGCTACCAGAAGCAGCTCCTCCTACTCAGCAGTTGCCTTAAAAGTACATCAACTGTACAATTCTCTTATTCCTTAACTAGTAGTCATGTAAAATTCACCGACAATGAAAAAGAAGAAAGATTTAGGAGATCATTAATTTTGTTGAGTTCAATTAAGAAATATAAAGGAGGAAAGAGAAAGTTCAAATTTAAACTTCCTAAAATAACTATAAGTACAGTTATATAAATAGAATACAAATAATTTTTAAACAAACATTTCTATTTTGCAATAAAATCATTTATAAACTTTAAAAATATTATTTGTGGCACATACTTAAAGCATCTTTGATGTCGTTATACAACTGACTATTATTCCTAATCTTTTAAGGGTGAAGTTCTAACGCCGAAGAACAAGACACTATCTAAAATTCCATTTTAATGAATCATCGAGTGAGAGAGAAAACAAAACCGCATAAAGGTGAAAAACGTTCTTAAAATCTAAAACAATCAGGGATGGGACACTTATATGTGGTTGTATATATAACCAAGGACCAAATTTGCTTGTGCCTGCACACCTTCCCTCCTATGCTATCTCGGGTTGGATTCTTTGACTAAGCCGAAAAGGTAATTTTTTTAAAAAAATTAGCGTGAAGTATTAGTTATTTTGGATTCAATTTCCTCATCTTCTGACAAAATTACTCTACCCAGTTCTTAAAAAATTAATTATTTGATAATTTTATAAAATGACAAAAAAAAGTAAACCCAAATCAAATTGTTAAAAATGTCAAAAAAAGAAAGAAAAAACGACGGAGAATCAAGTATTATTATGTTAGCAGATGGATTTGAGGTGTTCTCTGAAAACCTTCAAGATTCCATCGAACGTAACAATCCCACACAATGTTCCATCGTCTTCCACAACCCACACGTAACTCACGCGATGCGCAAGTGCTTGAATGATAACCGCCACCAAAGAGCTTTTAGGGTAGCAAACAATGGCTTCCGATCTTCTCACCACCCTCGCCGAGTACCCTCCAACTTTCCCATTCTTCCCAATGCAAAAATCCTCATCAGAAGACGAACTCGAAGTAAATGACGACCAAGAAGAAAGCCCCGTTTCATCGCCGAGCAACTCCAACGCCGCTCCTAGGCTCTGCTCCTCCAGCCTCTCCTTCACAACCTGCACCAGATCCTCCGGCGGTCCACCGCAGTCGATGTAGGCCATGAGCTCACCGGCGGAGAGAGTTGCCATCGCCGGCACCAGCGCCTCGTCGCAAGAGTTGACAGTGAAGGGGGAGATTTCTCCTACGAACTTGCCTTGCTGGTCGACAACGGCGACGGAACTCTGGTGAAAGAGAGAGACGGCGAGAAGGTCCAAAACAGAGGAGGCAGGGTCGTCGTAGCACACAACTAAGAGATTCTGCGTGTCGATTACGCCGAGGGTGTTGATAGGGTTACTGGGTATGGGGGAAAATACACCAATTGAGTTCAGGAGGTAGCGTATTACGTCCTCTTGCGTCAGCCAGCAATAGGTGGCGTCGTTTTTGTGCATTGTGTGAGACTCCCCATATTCAAGGACACTTTTCCTTGAACCACTCCGGTTTGGTATTGGTATCACCACGTTCTGCACCCCTTCGTGCATTACATCTATCACCTCCAACAAGCTGTAGCCAAACATGTCATAACCAAAATTAATAAAAGATTTTCCTTCAATTAATACAATGACAGCAACTTTCGTTTCTTGTTCAGCATTAGTGGTAAAGGTGATTTTTTATCACTCTTGTATGACAGCTGAAATCTAGCATAAAAGTCAAAGGTGCATTGAGAAATGACTTGAATTTTATTTAATATTTAAGAAAGAAGACTGCGCGTTTTTGTATTTTAATTTTCTTGAAAGAAAAAAAGAAACGAAAAATGAATCTGAAATTCTTTACCTGGCATTAGGAGGGAGATGGCGAACAAGGGTGGGATGGCGAGGGAGGAGAAGGGAGATGGGGGAATGGAAGGCTGAGGCAGGGGAAGAGAGGTTGTCGGGTTTGGAAAGGAAGCAAATGATGTCGACCATGCAAACCTTGCCGATGCATGTGCAGGTGCAGGTGCAGGTGCAGGTGCGGTTGCAGCAATTGTTATTATGGCGAACGAAGGAGTGGTGGCAGTTCCAGACGGTGACGTAGGAGTCTCCGATCCTCTTGAGGGCGGAGAGTGCGTCGGCTACGGTGTCGGTGACGGAAAGTGACCTGAGAGGCGGTTTCCCAAGGCACAGATCGGATACCTCATGCCCTGACAATCTCGCTGCCATACACCGTCCGATAACTACCCCAACAATTAGAGATAGATAGAAGGGGGGTTTTTGAATTATGGTTATTACTATTATTATTGGGGGTAGAAAGAGGAACTTGTTAAGATAGAGATAGAGATAGAAAGAGAGAAACAGAAAGGTATTTCTGGCTCAGAATTTGGGGGAGAAAGGTTGGGAGATATATAGGCTAGTGGTTACCGGAAGAGCCGGTAAGTTCCCTGTGGAAACTGGTTACGCTGTGGGGTCTGCTGTTGCTATTATACTATTATATTATATAGAAGTGGGCCCTTTCATTTTTAGATTATTACCAAGCCAATGCTATGGCGTTTTTCGTCATTGTCCTTGCTGTCTCTTATCTACAACTGGCACCCCTCTCTTATTTTTCTCCATTATTGTTGTTTCACGTTTAGGGTTTAATTATTTAGTGCTCCTCCATCCATGCCACTATATTCTTGCCTATTTACATACCAATATGATTCAATGTAATTGCACCTATTTTCTGATTTATTGTTTAATGCTTTTGTTTTTGGGCGCTAAGCCCCATTAAATATATATAGATAAGAAATTTGCAGACTAGATATTTTTGTAGTGCGTTTGAATAGAATGAGATAAATTTATTTTAAGAGATAATTTCTTAGAAAAATATCATTCTTTCATGCATTTCATGTTTTTATTTTCTTCTTACGTTTTGTATTTTTATTATTACATTAAAATAATTTTTGAACAAAAATTTAAAGATATATTGAATGATTATTTTAAAATTTATAATTTTAATTATTACTAATAATATCCTATAATATTAAATTAAAACAGATAAAAGATTTTAAAATAAATTATTTCAAAATTTAAATCAATACTAAATTAACAATGTTTTCATTCAATGCATCTTAAGTCATTTAAGATTGTGAGAAATATAACTGATTTTAAAAAATATTATCATTTAAGATGACCTACAAAAAATGAGCACTTAAAATTTAAGACTCCGTCTAGAGTTTATTTTATGCTTTGTGAAAAAAAAATTGCCAGTCAAATTGAAACCATAATAAATAAGATTAATTTAATTGGACTTTTATTTATAATCAAATTGATAGGATAATAAAATTTATAAAATTTTACGGAATTGAAATAGATTATCCTTTTCTTTAAAATTGGTCAAATTTCAATTTGCATGCACTCTTACCGTACAAGTGTGTGTTCTAAATGTCAAATTTTAAATTTTATTCACCAGAATTTAATAATAAACTCGGATCCTTTCCATTTACCTTGTGACATGACAGTCTCAGGGGAAAATTTCAAATGGGTAAGAAATAACTTATCATAAAAAAGTGATATCAAATACGTAGCATCATTTTCATCATTTTATTTTTCATTTATGATTTGTTGTTTGACCAATAAATGCATCCACATTGATTCATCGCTATATGAAAAAAACTAAAATAAAATAAAATCGTCAGGCAATGGTTATATCATATTTACAAAATATCGTCTTTCACTATCGTTAAAATCTCATCCACAATGTCAATTATAACACAACACATCATCCCTTGTTCAAAACTCTGTTACGGTTTCAAAACTAAATGCATTTATTTGTTACCGTTCATTGTAATTTTTTCAATTCTTTGTTACGAAACCCTTTATGGGCCGCAGTACTGCACCACTTATCTCACAGATAGCAGAGCAGTCATGTTCTCCAAGACAAACTATTTTGCATTGACATTGAGACATGGAATCCAATATCATTCAGTTCTTCATTTGGTTTTGCTCCATTGAATTTGTAATTTTAAAAATACTTCTGAAACTATGCTACATGAATGTGTAGAGTCTCATATTAATTATTTGAAAGGCTTAAATAAAGATTGGAATTTATAATATAAAATCATATAACTATTTAGTTTAATTATATATATCAAAGTTTGTCTACTTGTGTTCCTTTCTTTATCATTTTATGAATTCGTCCTTGCAATTACGCATGTGAAGAACGTAGAGCACACTGAAAAACATAAGGCTAAGTCAATGAGGGAGAGGAAACTTGACCGGATAAAAATTAATGTATGTTTAGTTGGGTCAAGAGAACTTGTCAACAAAAAGAAAATACCATTCAACTTCTCTATCTGAATATCTGAGAGCAAATCCTATAATTAGGATCATTCTATGATCTCGCAAGAACTGACAACGCACACGTTTGACAGTTTGACCTTAACCTCAAAATTAAATATCTTATTTGAGAGTTAGGGGATATAGATTCTCTGTAACTGCATTTGATTTAATGCTAATTTTAATCATTTACTGTATTAAAACATTTTTATTTATTTTTTAAAATGAACTATTTAGTTATTTCAATGATGATAATCTCCGATGATAATGTTACTATATTTATCCATTTTCGAGCGTTAGACGTGGACACTCCGCAAGTGCTACCTTGTATACATGTTCGGCCACAGGAGTTGTGTATAGTTGTTAATTACCTTTTATGCTTTCTTATATTAGGCTACCTTAACTAATTACTGTATTATAGGACCTAAATTTCATTCCTATCAGTTGTTGTAACTAAGTAAAGCAAAAAAAAAAAGCCTACGAATCCGCAGCACGTTAAAGAAACTAACATGGTTATACTTGCTTTTTGCTAATTACCCAAAAAAACATGTCATACCTGCGACGAGAAAGTATCACATTAATTTTCACTAATCGCCTCCATTCGAGTATTTTGTGTCAGAAAATAGTACTTTCCATTTGGCATGTTGACTCCACGTGTTTTGACTCAATTTCGTCAAGATGTATTCCGACAAAATAGCACTTCCCAAAAATAAATTTAAAACATGTTCATAAGCGTTTAAACACGTACAAATTAATGAATATTAAGAAAATAGTATTTGACAGAGTTAAAAGAATTGTTTTAAATTTATTTAACCGATTTAAAATCTGTTTGACAAAAGATATTTTAGTAATTGTAGCGTTTAACTTTTAAGCTTATAAAATTTGCTATTTTTTAGTTCATTTTTAAAATTATTTTCTTTTATTCATCTTTTCCATAGTAAAAACTCTTATAAGTTCCTGATTTGCCTTTATAGAAGTTGGCAACATTTGAAGTATCAGAAGAATAATGCTTTAATAGAAATGTTCTATTAAAGGTATATGGGGATAAGGACCAAACAAAAACATCCTTCTATAAAAGTGTTGCTTGAAAGGTGTATGTTTAACTAAAATAAGAGAACAACTTTTCACCGAATATTTAAAAAGTATGTTTGAATATATAATTTATTTAAATACTTATTGAATAACTTTTTTAATATAAGAATTTGTCATAAACTTAACTATAATGTTGAGATAAACTAAATTTTTTAAAATAATTTTTAAAAAAAAAATAATAATGATAAGTTATTTAGATATAAATTCTTTTAGACGACCTTTAAATACATTATAGCTGATGGCTTAACTACATTGACAAAAAGGATCGGATACACATGTACAAGAAGAAAGTTTTATACCTCCATACCATTTATGTGATCTTAATTCAACTTTTAGGATTTAGAGTATGTTTTCATGTTTCAAGTTATCGCAACCAGCAGGGTAGCGGAATTAGCAAGACATGAATGATGTGAAAAAATGGTCTTCCTCCTAATGAATACTATCTATATTATTCATGTTTAGAGAAAATAATATTTATAGTTATCTATTCATGTAGAAATTTAAAATAACATTATATTATTTTACTAATATCGTTTTTGTTTATATAAAATACTTATACAAATAAGTAAATCTTAAGAGTCAACAGAAACTCGTTAATAAAGGATAAAATATAAAATTTAGTAATTAATTCTAAATTTAATTAAATATTCATTTAATAAATTTTAATTATATAAAAATTTTGGACGTTGTTTTTATTGTAAATTTTTTAAAAGAATTTACACAAAAATTATTAACATAAATTAAAAAATTATAAATTATTTTTATAAACTCTTCCAAACATTTCTTTATCTTATACATTCCAATACCAACTTTATGAATTACAATATCTAGTGGTGATTGTGGGTCTATGTGGCATTTCGTGTGGTCTATAGTTGTGTAGTTGGTTTTACGACTTTTCATAATTTTTAAGAATGATAAAGAAAGCAAGGAAAGTAAAGTCCATATATAAAAAGTGCACACAGATAAGATCTTTTTTTTTTTTTTTTTTTTTTTTACCATCTACAATTAAAGGCTTAGAAATATATCATAAACAAAAAATTTCTCACGCTAATTAACGCGTAAGTTTAAAAGTTTTTATAATTTTTATTTAATTTATATTTAATGATAAGTAAAATAATAAATTATAATCTATTAAATATAAATTAAATAAAAAAGTTAAATGAGTGTAAAATTTTTTTAACTTACACTAATTTAAAAAATTTTTGCTCCATAAAATATATTATTTACTATATTTTTTATTATTAACTAAAATTTATTAAATATTTAAATAATGTGTAAGAAAATTATTAATTTAAAAATAAAAATAAAAATATGTAATTTTTAAAATGTTTAATTAATAATAAAAAATTATATTAAATTTTGTGTTAATAGCATTAATGGTTGGGAGCATGGGATCTTGGCCGGCGACATGTACGATTGTTTGTATGGCTATAATATCGCAATAATTATTTGATTTTATTTCCCTAGGAATCATGCCCAAGTATTTATTAGGAGCAAATATTTGTGGAGACTAATTCAAGTTGCAACAGTGAAATTTTGGAGAGGGACTGTTCGGCCATATTCAATGTCTCCAACGACTGTTTTTTTGGGGAAAGAGTATTTTATTTTTTAAATAAAAAAAAATGGAAAGTTATGGTTTTTACTTAAAAAAGTACATTTTTAAAAAATTATTTTTTAATTAAAAATTTTAAAAATATTTTTTATCTCAAGGTTTTTTTTAACCACATCATAAAGTGTATCAAATTTTTATGAGTGATACTATTTTTTAATTTTAAAACAAATATTGTGTATTTTATATCAATATTTTAATAATAACACATGATAATAAAGCGAACAAAATGGGCCAGCTCAATAGACTAAGCCAAAAAAACCTATTAAATGGACGACTTGTATTCTTAAAAAATAAAGCCTGAAATTATCTATAGTCATTTTAGTTTAGTCCATATAAGCCGATACCTGGTAGAGTTTTAA